TGACACCCTGACACTTGGGGGTCCAGGAACAATGACACCCTGACACTTGGGGGTCCCAGAAAACAATGACACCCTGAGACTTAGGGGTCCCAGAAGAATGACACCCCCGGCACTTGGGGGTCCCAGAACAATGACACCCTGACACTTGGGGGTCCCAGAACAATGACACCCTTGACACTTGGGGGTCCAGAACAATGACACCCTGAGACTTAGGGGTCCCAGAAGAATGACACCCCCGACACTTGGGGGTCTTAGGGTTAGGAATCAGAGCCTTGCTATCCTCACGTCTGGTTGGATTTTCCTTCTTCGGAAGGTTCCAGAAGCCGCCTGGAACGGAAGTCCCTGCCAGAGCTGGAGAAGGGATCAGCATCAGAGCAGGGACTATGGCAGGAGGAGCTCCACCCTGGGGTCCCCTATAGGAAAGCTTTGGGGGCCCAGCCCCCCACTCTATACCTGAAGTATCACTTTTGGGTGGAGTGACCCTTTAGCGCCATGTATGGCTGTGCGGATTGCGGCATATCACCCACATAGGCCGAGGCCAGGTGATGAGAGGTGCGCTGACACTAATGAGTGAATGGCGTCAGATCTCCCCCCACATAGCGCCCCCCCTCCCCTCCCGCTGCTAAATCTTTCATATGGCGGCTTACGTTCCCACAGCTCTCTGTTGACATCTCTCAGACTCACTTACAGATGAAGACAACATTGGCCGTCATGGGCCGAGGACGGGAGGACACGCTCGATTGGATTACAACTAATTCACAGATGAAGCGGGCGATTGTAGGATCCCAGAGACACCCGAGAGCCCAGATCCTGCCAGGGAGGATACCTTAACCCAATCACTGCCCGGGGGGGAGACGATCGCTTTACTGCTGAACGGGGGTCCACCGAGACCCCCACACATGACCCAGGGAGGAGACGGGAACAGGGGTACAGGGAGGAGACGGGGTACCGGGTACAGGGAGGAGACGGGGTACAGGGAGGAGACGGGGTACCGGGGTACAGGGAGGAGACGGGGTACAGGGAGGAACCTAAACCAATCACTGCCCGGGGGGGGAGACGATCGCTTTACTGCTGAACGGGGGTCCGCTGAGAACCCCACACATGACCCAGGGAGGAGAACGGGGTACCGGGGTACAGGGAGGAGACGGGGTACCGGGGTACAGGGAGGGAGGAGACGGAGTACAGGGAGGAGACCAGGTACAGGGTCCAGGGAGGAGGATACCTTAACCCAATCACTGCCCGGGGGGGGAGACGATCGCTTTACTGCTGAACGGGGGTCCGCCGAGACCCCCACACATGACCCAGGGAGGAGACGGGAACAGGGGTACAGGGAGGAACGGGGTACCGGGGTACAGGGAGGAGGAGACCAGGTACAGGGTCCAGGGAGGATACCTTAACCCAATCACTGCCCGGGGGGGGAGACGATCGCTTTACTGCTGAACGGGGGTCCGCCGAGACCCCCACACATGACCCAGGGAGGAGACGGGAACAGGGGTACAGGGAGGAGACAGGGGGTACCCCGGGGTACAGGGAGGAGACGGGGTACAGGGAGGACGGGACGGGGTACAGGGAGGAGACCAGGTACAGAGTCCAGGGAGGATACCTTAACCCAATCACTGCCGGGGGGGGGGGGGAGTCGATCGCTTTTACTGCTGAACGGGGTCCGCCAAGACCCCCACACATGACCCAGGGAGGAGACGGGAACCAGGGGTACAGGGAGGAGACGGGGTACCGGGGTACAGGGGGGGAGACCCGGTACAGGGTCCAGGGAGGATACCTTAACCCAATCACTGCCCAGGGGGGAGACGATCGCTTTACTGCTGAACGGGGGTCCGCCGAGACCCCCACACATGACCCAGGGAGGAGACGGGAACAGGGGTACAGGGAGGAGACGGGGGGTACAGGGGTACCGGGGTACAGGGAGGAGACGGGGTACCGGGTACAGGGAGGAGACGGGGTACAGGGGTACGGGGAGGGATACAGGGAGGATACACTTAACCCAATCACTGCCCGGGGGGGGAGACGATCGCTTTACTGATGAACGGGGGTCCGCTGAGACCCCCACACATGACCCAGGGAGGAGACGGGAACAGGGGTACAGGGAGGAGACGGGGTACCGGGGTATAGTGAGGAGATGGGGTACAGGGAGGAGATGGGGTACCGGGGTACAGGGAGGAGATGGGGTACAGGGGTACAGGGAGGATACCTTAACCCGATCACTGCCCGGGGGGGAGACGATCGCTTTACTGCTGAACGGGGGTCCGCCGAGACCCCCACACATGACCCAGGGAGGAGACGGGAACAGGGGTACAGGGAGGAGACCGAATACCGGGGTACAGGGAGGATACCTTAACCCGATCACTGCCCGGGGGGGAGACGATCGCTTTACTGCTGAACGGGGGTCCGCCGAGACCCCCACACATGACCCAGGGAGGAGTCGGGAACAGAGGTACAGGGAGGAGACGGGGTACAGGGAGGAGACGGGGTACAGGGGTACAGGGAGGATACCTTAACCCAATCACTGCCCGGGGTAAAGACAATCATTTTACTGCTGAACGGGGTCCACTGAGACCCCCACACCTGACCCAGGGAGGAGACGGGAACCGGGGTACAGGGCCTAGGGAGGAGACCGAATACCGGGGTACAGAGTCCAGGGAGGATACCTTAACCCAATCACTGCCGGGGGGGGGGGGGAGACGGTCGCTTTACTGCTGAACGGGGGTCCACCAAGACCCCCCCCCACACCTGACCCAGGGAGGAGAGAGGAGGGAACAGGGCAGGACACAGAGAGGAGGAGGCAGGCTGGTTACCCATGGGGGGGCAGGACACAGAGAGGAGAGAGACCTGCTACCCATGGGGGGGCAGGACACAGAGAGGAGGCGACCAGCTACCCATGGGGGGGGCAGGACACAGAGAGGAGGAGACCAGCTACCCATGGGGGGGGCAGGACACAGAGAGGAGGAGACCAGCTACCCATGGGGGGGGCAGGACACAGAGGGGAGGAGACCAGCTACCCATGGGGGGGGGGGGCAGGACAGGACACAGAGAGGAGGAGACCAGCTACCCATGGGGGGGGCAGAAACCTGCGTCTGACTATCATCTCTGGGCCCCAGACAACATGGAGATCAGCCCAGCAAGAAGACCGTCTCTAGGACTGAGGACAGGAAAGGTCCCGGAGCCAGGCTGGGCTGTACCCCCCCCCCCCCCCCCCCCCCCCCCCCCCCCCCCGTCTGTTGTATGTGGAAGTGACGGGATTTCATGTTCTGGAGGGACATCTACACTGATCAGTGCTACCCAATCAGTGCTGCCCCATCAGTGCCCATCATTTCCAGATATCAGTGCCCATCACAGCTACCCCCTCATCCCCCCACCATACCCCCCCCTCGACTTAACCCGCAGGGATTTCGTCGCTGCTCAAACTACCTCCAACCCCGTTCCCCCTCACTCAGCTACCCCCTCATCACCCCTCTCCCACGGCCCCACCACTGCTCTGACCCCCACTTCCACCCCACCCTACATTCCTCATACTGAAGCTCCCCCCAACACTCCGCACCTTTGACCTTATTACCATCGAGGAAGTCTCCAAGATCCTCTCTGATGCCCGCCTCACCACCTGCCCCCTCGACCCTATCCCCACACAACTCCTACAACCTCCCTCCCCCTCCATCCTACGCTCCCTCACCCACATCTTCAATCTCTCCCTCTCCTCCGGCACTTTCCCCTCCCCTCTGAAACATGCACACATCACCCCCATACTTAAAAAGCCCTCCCTGGACCCTAATGACCCGAACAACCTCAGACCCATCTCCCTGCTCCCATTTACATCCAAACTCCTCGAGCGCCTAGTCTACGCCCTCCCCCCGCCTATGCTCTCACCTCAATGACAACAACCTCCTCGATCCCCTACAGTCCGGCTTCCGTCCCTACACACTCCACCGAAACCGCCCTACCACTCCACCGAAACTGCCCTACACTCCACCGAAACCGCCCTACACTCCACCCCCGCCCTACACTCCAAACTGCCCTACACTCCACCAACCGAAACCGCCCTACACCCCCAAAAACCTGCCCTACACTCCACCGAAACCACCGCCCTACACTCCACCGAAACCCCCTACACTCCACCGAAACCGCCTGACTCAAACACTCCAAACCTGCGACCTGCTAACCGCCAAAGCTAATGGCCACTACTCAGTGCTCCTACTCCTAGACCTCTCCGCAGCCTTCCACACAGTCCACCACCCCCTCCTCCTCAAAAAACTACACTCCCTCGGCCTCAGAGATTCTGCTCTCTCCTGGCTCTCATCCTACCTGTCACAACGCTCTTTCAGCGTTACCTATAATGCTACCACCTCCCCCTCACTCCCCCTCTCTGTTGGGGTCCCCTCAAGGCTCTGTCCTCGGGCCCCTTCTCTTCTCCATCTATACCTCCTCCCTTGGCCAACTCATACACTCTCACGGCTTCAACTACCACCTCTATGCCGACGACACACAAATCTATCTCTCAACCCCCCACCTCACCCCCTCAGTCTCCGCCCCCCACCTCACCCCCTCGGTCTCAGCCCGAATCACACACCTACTGAGCGACATATCAGACTGGATGTCGCTCCACTTCCTCAAATTGAACCTCTCCAAAACCGAGTTTCTTGTCTTCCCCCCAGCCCGGACACCACCCCCCATTGATTTCTCCGTCACATCCAACAACGCCACCATCAAACCCGCCCCGCAGGCCAGAGTACTTGGTGTCATTCTGGACTCCAACCTATCCTTCCAGCCCCAAGTCCAATCTTTAACAAACTCGTGCAGACTCCTCCTCCGCAACATGCAGACTCCACCTCCGCAACATGCAGACTCCACCTCCGCAACATGCAGACTCCACCTCCGCAACATGCAGACTCCTCCACCTCCGCAACATGCAGACTCCGCCTCCGCAACATGCAGACTCCGCCTCTGCAACATGCAGACTCCGCCTCCGCAACATGCAGACTCCGCCTCCGCAACATGCAGACTCCGCCTCCGCAACATGCAGACTCCGCCTCTGCAACATGCAGACTCCACCTCCGCAACATCGCCAAAATCCGCACGTTCCTAACCCCAGAAACCACTAAACAGCTCATCCACTCCCTCATCATATCACGACTCGACTACTGCAACTCCCTCCTCACTGGCCTGCCTCACCACAGGCTATCCCCCTCTTCAGTCCATCCTGAATACGGCTGCCAGACTCATTCACCTTTCCAACCGCTCCATCTCCGCCACCCCCCTCCTGCTCCAATCCCTCCACTGGCCTCCACTCAGTGTCCTCCACCCCCCTCTGCCAATCCTCCACTGACCTCCACTCAGTGTCCTCCACCCCCCTCTGCCAATCCCTCCACTGGCCTCCACTCAGTGTCCTCCACCCCCCTCTGCCAATCTCTCCACTGACCTCCACTCAGTGGCCTGCCAATCCCTCCACTGGCCTCCTCTCAGTGTCCTCCACCCCCCTCTGCCAATCCTCCACTGGCCTCCATTCAGTGTCCTCCACCCCTCTCTGCCAATCCCTCCACTGGCCTCCACTCAGTGTCCTCCACCCCCCTCTGCCAATCCCTCCACTGGCTTCCGATTGCGCAACGGATCAAATTCACAATCCTAACACTGACATACAAAGCCGTCCACCATACTGCCCCGAACTACATCACTGACCTAATATCCAAGTACCACCCAACACACACACTCCGCTCCTCACAAGACCTCCTTCTCTCTAGTTCCCTGGTCTCCTCCTCCCATGCCCACCTCCAGGACTTCTCCAGGGTGTCACCCATCCTCTGGAACTCCCTGCCCCAACCCATCAGATTATCACCTACTCTCCTCTCCTTTAGGCGCACCCTGAAAACCCACCTCTTCAGGGAAGCCTACCCCACCCCCTGCTAACTTGCCTCCCTCCTCCACTCCTCCTACCACTCCATCCCCCACAGCTATCTCCTCCTGTGTGCCACCATCCCATCCCTCCTAGATTGTAAGCTCCAAGGATCAGGGCCCTCGATCCCCTCATGTATCACATTGTATTGGTATTGTTCTGTCACATGTTCTGTCCCCTCTGTAATGTACAGCGCTGAGCCAACTATTGGAGCTTTATAAATACTGTATAATAATCAGTGTTGCCCCATCAGTGCCCATCATTTCCAGATATCAGTGCCCATCAGTGTTGCCCCATCAGTGCCCATCATTTCCAGATATCAGTGCCCATCAGTGTTGCCCCATCAGTGCCCATCATTTCCAGATATCAGTGCCCATCAGTGTTGCCCCATCAGTGCCCATCATTTCCAGATATCAGTGCCCATCAGTGTTGCCCCATCAGTGCCCATCATTTCCAGATATCAGTGCCCATCAGTGTTGCCCCATCAGTGCCCATCATTTCCAGATATCAGTGCCCATCAGTGTTGCCCCATCAGTGCCCATCATTTCCAGATATCAGTGCCCATCAGTGCTGCCCCATCAGTGCCCATCATTTCCAGATATCAGTGCCCATCAGTGTTGCCCCATCAGTGCCCATCATTGCCAGATATCAGTGCCTCCTCATCAGTGCCGCCCAGGGGCAGACTGACCATTTGGAAACTCGGGCACTGCCCGAGGGCCCGGGGTCAGTAGGGGGCCCCATGAGATGCCCCTGGTACCTTTTTCATAGGCTTTTTTGAGTTTGGGCAAGGACACAGGGGCCCCATGATCCCCTATTGCCTGGGGGCCCCATGAGTTGTCAGTCCGCCCCTGGTGCCGCCTATCAGTGCCAATCAGTTCTGTACATCAGTGCCACATGACAGTGCTACCTGTCAATGACCATCAGTGCCGCCTATCAGTGCCAGTCAGTGCCGCCAGTCAGTGCCAGTCAGTGCCGCCTATCAGTGCCGCCTATCAGTGCCGCCTATCAGTGCCAGTCAGTGCCGCCAGTCAGTGCCAGTCAGTGCCGCCTATCAGTGCCGCCTATCAGTGCCGCCTATCAGTGCTGCCTCATCAGCTCACATCAGTGAAAAGAGAAAACTTACCCGTTTGCAACATTTTCCAACAGAATCTTAAGAAAAACTTTTTTTTTCAAAATGTCTTTTTTTCATTTGTTTAGCAAAAATATCCCCCCCCCCCCCCCCCCCAGTGATGATTACATCCCACCAATAGAAAGCTCTATCTGCCTCCAAAAATGATATAAATGTCACCTGGGTGCAGTGTAGCATGACCGCGCAATTGTCATGGAGAGTGCGACAGCGCTAACATCTGAAAGATGGTCCGGGCAGGGAGGGGGTGACTGCGTCTGGGCAGGGAGGGGGCTGACCGCCTGGGCAGGGAGGGGGTGACCGCGCCAGGCATTGAAGGGGTTAAACAAGAACCCAGAGAGGCGGGTGTGCTCGATCTCCGCTCATTGCTTCCCACAGAGGTCGGAGTCACCTGCCAGTGAGGTCAGAGCACAATAGACCAATGACGGCTACAGCGCGGGTACCCAGGTCTGGGAGGACGTCACATGACACACGGATCCTACAGACACAGCTGAGCACGGGATGAGGTGAAAGGCCAATCACAGCAGCCTTTTACCATGTGATCAGCCGTGTCCAATGACATCACAGATCACTCAGTAAACACATTTGCCGCTTATCGGCTGTCACAGTGCGAGGAAAGTACTGCCGATCACCGACAACTGTCACACAGGAGATCAGCACTGATCATCAGTGCCCAGCAGTGCCTCCCACCAGTACCCAGCAGTGCCTCCCACCAGTACCCAGCAGTGCCTCCCACCAGTACCTATCAGTGCCTCCCACCAGTGCCTCCCACCAGTGCCTAGCAATGACCAGCAGTGCCTTTCACCAGTGCCCAGCAGTGCCTCCCACCAGTGCCCATCAGTGCCTCCCACCAGTGCCCATCAGTGCCTCCCACCAGTTCAACCCACCAGTGCCCAGTAGTGCCTCCCACCAGTGCACAGCAGTGCCTCCCACCAGTGACCAGCAGTGCCACCTATCAGTGCCTCCCACTAATGCCTAGCAATGCTCATTTGTGCCCTCCCACCAGTGCCCATCAGTGCCTCCCACCAGTGCCTAGCAATGTCCAGCAGTGGCTCCCATCAGTGACAAGCAGTACCACCAGTGCCTCCCACCAGTGCCCAGCAGTGCCACCCACCAGTGCCCAGCAGTGTCACCCACCAGTGCCTATCAATGCCCAGCAGTGCCTTTCACCAGTGCCCAGCAGTGCCACCCACCAGTGCCCAGCAGTGCCCATCAGTGCCTCCCACCAGTTCAACCTACCAGTGCCTCCCACCAGTGCCCAGCATTGTCACCCAGCAGTTGTGCCCACTAGTGCTAAGCAGTGCCACCCATCAGTGCCTCCCACCAATGCCACCAACCAATGCCCAGCAGCGCCTCCCACCAGTGCCAACAACCAGTGCCCATCAGTGCCTCCCACCAGAGCCCATCAGTGCTCCCACCAGTGCCCCCCATCAGTGATACCCACCAGTGCCCATTAGTGCCACCCATCAGTGCCACTCACCAGTGCCCAGTGGTGCCTACTATGAGTGCCTCCCCAGCAGTGCCACCTATCATGGCCCATCAGTGCCCCCCAGCAGTGCCACCCATCAGTGCTGCCCAGCAGTTGTGCCCATCGGTGCCACCAGTCAGTTCCATCAGTCAGTGCTGCCAGTCAGGGCTGTTAGTCAATACCGTCAGTCAGCGCCGCCCATCATTGCAGGATCATCAGTGCCTCCTCATCAATGCCCACCAGTGCCGCCCATCATTGTAGCATCATTAGTGCCTCCTCATCAATGCCCACCAGTGCCGCCCATCAGTGTCGCCCATCATTGTAGCATCATTAGTGCCTCCTCATCAATGCCCACCAGTGCCGCCCATCATTGTAGCATCATTAGTGCCTCCTCATCAATGCCCACCAGTGCCGCCCATCATTGTAGCATCATTAGTGCCTCCTCATCAATGCCCATCAGTGTCGCCCATCATTGTAGCATCATTAGTGCCTCCTCATCAATGCCCACCAGTGCCGCCCATCAGTGTCGCCCATCATTGTAGCATCATCAGTGCCCCCTCATCAATGCCCACCAGTGCCGCCCATCAGTGTCGCCCATCATTGTAGCATCATCAGTGCCCCCTCATCAATGCCCACCAGTGCCGCCCATCAGTGCCGCCCATCATTGTAGCATCATCAGTGCCTCCTCATCAATGCCCACCAGTGCCGCCCATCATTGTAGCATCATCAGTGCCTCCTCATCAATGCCCACCAGTGCCGCCCATCAGTGTCGCCCATCATTGTAGCATCATCAGTGCCCCCTCATCAATGCCCACCAGTGCCGCCCATCAGTGTGCCCATCAGTGTCGCCCATCATTGTAGCATCACCAGTGCCTCCTCATCAATTCCCACCAGTGCCGCCTCATCAGTGTGCCCATCAGTGTCGCCCATCATTGTAGCATCACCAGTGCCTCCTCATCAATTCCCACCAGTGCCGCCTCATCAGTGTGCCACCAGTGCCGCCCATCATTGTAGCATCATCAGTGCCTCCTCATCAATGCCCACCAGTGCCGCCCATCAGTGTGCCCATCAGTGTGCCCATCAGTGTCGCCCATCATTGTAGCATCACCAGTGCCTCCTCATCAATTTCCCACCAGTGCCTCCTCATCAATTCCTACCAGTGCCTCCTCATCAATTCCCACCAGTGCCGCTATGAGGGAGCCTCATCAGTGAAGGAGAAAATTTACCTGTTTGCAAAATTTATAATAGAAAGAAAATAAACTTTTTTTCAAATGTTTTGCTCTTTTTTTGCTTATAGTGCAAAAATAAATAACCCCCAAAGATGGTAAATCCCCCCAAAAGAAAGCTCTACGTGTGAACAAAATGATACAAATGTCACATGGGTACAATGTTGCACGACTGCGCAATTGTCATTCAGAGTGCAACGGGTGAAAACTGGCCTGGGCAGGAAGGGGGGAAAAGTGCCCCGGTAGGCAAGCGGTTAAAGGGGAACTCCGCCTTCTCGGCACCAGTGTGTCAGGCGTGGAGTTTTCCGATCACTGGATTCTGTCTGTGACTCTGAGTGGCCCCGATACACCACCTAGGGGGAGGAGCGTCAATCTGGTGGCCATCCAGCTGTTGTGAAACTACAAGTCCCATCATGCCTCTACCTTTGGGAGCCATGCTTTGTAACGGTCAATCTTGCAATGTCTCATGGGACTTGTAGTTTGGCGACAGCTGGAGGGGCCTCCAGTTTGACCCCCGTGCCCTAGGGGGAGGGGTACCTGGAAGCTGAATTCGGCACTCCTGGACGATGAGAAGGTGAGTCAATCCTTTGAGGATTTTTTTCAGGCACAGGTATCAATCATGGACGTTTGCAGCAGTAAGTCCGAGTGGTGGGAGCTTACAAAACGAAGGATCGTTGGGTTCAAGGCCATAGGAAGG